CCCCCCACACACACACACACACACACACACACACACACACACACACACACACACACACACACACACACACACACACCCTCCACAAGCCTCACATACTACTAGTGCAAACAGGTCAGCAATATTAAAGGACAATTTGCAATAATATAGTGTTTGGCTGCAAGTGTTTAGGTGTTTGTGTGCTTTTGTGCCAAAATTGAGCTGCTGTTAAGCAGGTCACAGACTAAGACTGGGATTATTAAAGAATAGAAACTGTTACACTCACCCCTTTCCCAAACACTGCCCCCCTTCAYACACCCTCATTACCTTAATCCAACAATAAACACTGTAATCATGAAAAACTACTAACAATCACCACAGTTAAAACATCACTAATGAGTCTGTCAGTGAAGATTTTAAACGTGTTTAAACACACAAAACTGTCTCTTTTTCATGTTTTCTCACTGCACAATGCATCCTCTGACATTTGGACCCAGGTCTACTGGGAGCAGGCCTTACCTTGACCATGCAACATGTGGCAGCTGCTGCAGAGGAGGAGCAGGRTACAGAGAGGCAGATACCGACCCGTCCCGGTCCTGCTGGTCCCGACTCTCCTCCTTATCATCATCATCATCATCATCTGCGGGCTCCGTGCCACCACCGATCCCTCCAGAACCTCCCCGGATCCCTCACGGCTACTTCCCGGCTTCATCCCGTGCCAGAAGGCTGGGGATTAGAGTATAAAACCTGCAGTTTCCTCCTCCCTCTGCAACAGCCCCTGCGTCCCTGTGCAGGAATGAGGAGAAATCAAGACCGGGGGGAGAAGGAAGACGCTTCTGTTTTATTTMTTTCTTTCTTTATTTTGTTGTTGGTCACTGATGAGGAGGATCCAAGAGTTCAGCGGTGCTTCAGCAAGCTTCCGCCCAGCTCCGACGTCCAAAACTCGGCAGGCGATGAGGAGCAGAGGGGGAAAGGGAAGCAGCAGGAAAACGACAGGCTTTCCCGTGATGCCTCATTCTCATTTAGATCAAACAAAAATTAATACATTTGAGTGTGTCTATCCGCTTATTCCCCTGTCAGCCTCAAATCCGAGCTTGTTTTGATGTCTTCACCAGGGATCATTTAGCTGTTTAGACAGCGGTGGTATTACCAGAGTGATAAAACATGGAAACTATCCAACTACCCTCCTCCCCCCCTCTGTACTCTACAAAAATCAATCCGCTAATTGATTTTTGCGAACACCCCTTGATTTGATGGGCGAACTAATTGGAAATGGCGCTCCCGAGTATCCAGCCGCAGTCTCTGCTTTATGGCCACAACTTAGAGATTTGTAGTTTAACTTTAACATCAAGTGATGTTGGTGAGTCCAAAAAAAATATTTCCACTCTTGCAGCGAAAGGAAAAGAGAGGGAGACTCCTTCCTCCCTCTGCTTCTCGCGCCCGCGATGCGAAGCGTCTTGCGCGGAGAGGGGAGGGGGGAAAAGACACAACAGGTTAACTAAAACATTACAAGTTTCACTTTAACCTACGCTTTGAACAAAGCGACTGAAGGGTAGCTCTGTAAAAAAAAATAATAAAAATAAAAAGTAGCGGGTCTGAAGAGGAGAAAACAGCCGCAAGACACTCTCACTGCTGCGGCTGCGACACAGCGAGTGTGTCGGTGCTCGTCCACGGTCCTCCGCGGTCTCCAAGAAAAAGTCTGAATAGAAAAAGTAGTTTACGTACGCTTTTAAAACGTGCTTTTCCTCTGTTTTGTCCGTTCGTGCTCACGGGAGTTTCCTTCCTATTATAAGGCAAGTTTTTATTGTCCGGTTCTCCACCGTCTCGGCACCCTGTTGGAGCCTGGGGAGCTGGAGCGCGTGTGAGGCGATGCGTCTCCCTCCACTGAACACCTGCCAGCTTCCTCTCTGCACGGACTCAGGGGGGGTTGGTGAGAGAGAGAGAGAGAGCCCCTCTTAGTCAAATGCTTTTATAAACGCAAGCGAGTATTAATCTGTTTAAATCCACTTTTTAATCCGGTATTCCCTGTAAATTGGGCTGTAGCTGTCACCTTTACGCTCCCAAACTCGAAAACTAAAACTTCCATTCACTATCATCCGTCGCTGCGGATTGGTTATGCCTGGTGCTCTGGCTACTCCTATTGGATAAGACGAACTAGGAGGCGGGACATAGGGCACGGCACAAAGACTTGTAGTGGACGGCGCCCCCAAGCCTCTAATCCCCAAACAGAGAATTATGTATGTGCGTGCACGCGCGCGTGACTTTCCATTACAAATTGTTATCCAAACATTTATATAGGTAATTTTAGATTATTACTCATCAAAAATTTTATGTACTGCAAGGAAAATGGGCATAAATATAAACTTTAAAGTACCTGCACAGGAATGTTTTCATTATTTTCTTTTAGTTATTTATTTTTGAGAAGATGTAGGCCTATTTGAGAAGAGGAGGACAAGCTCTGCTGGTGGTTCAGCTACATAAATAACATAATAAGTGCCTGGAGCTGTTTCTTAGTGCTGCTGATAACCTAGTTTCTTCCATGGTGAGGGTCGTTAAATGGCACATTAATATTAAAGGCTACAACACAGTGACCTTATCTTTTATTGCCTGAATAAATCCTCAGAGTCAACCTTTCCTTCCCCAGAGTGGCCAAAATAGTCTCCCTGGGTCGTCAAAGTCTTCTAAATGCACTCCCTTCAAGTTCTCACGCCTCAGATTATCTGTTTATTTTCCTGTTAAAGTTCATTTGGTAGTCGTCCTGAGATCAAATATTTGTTGTTGTTTTTTTCTTAGTGAACATGATTCTTAGATTTTTTAAATGAAATTAATATTAATGTGAAGTGTCAAACTTTAGTTATATGAATTATACTTTTACAGTGGTACTATCTAAAGCAGTGGTTCCCAAACTTTTTATCTTCTGACCCACAAAATATCCATGGCAAAAACTTGTGACCCCAAAAATTACTGGTCCGAGTACACAAACTTTATTAATAACCCCAAAAACACAGGCTTTTTGACAATCTAAACAGCTTATACACAAATATAAATACTTATTTATACTTATTTTGTGTTTTTGTAATAGTTATAGGGAAAATATT